GAGTCACTTAAATCATTGTAACTTGTAAAGTAAAGGTCCGATTGAGCTAAACTTTTGACATGTATGTTTGAAGGTTTAGTATTTTCTAAAAATCAGATAGATAGATAGATAATGTAGTTTATTGGCCTACAGAGGAATTACAGCCATTTTACATTCAATCGCAGTTTAGTCACTGTATCTAAATGGCGCAAGGTAGTCATAAACATAACTTTAAACTATTTTACATTCAATCGCAGTTCAGTCACTATATCTAGGTGGCGCAAGGGGGGGGTAGTCATAAACATAAACTTTAAACTATAAACTATATATGATAGATATTATAAAATAATTACAGCCATTTTAAATTGCAAGAGACATTTATACATAGTTGGGGATGAATTTAGAGTGCAAGCATTAACATACAATAAACTAATTGTAAGCTAAGTCTAAAAAATACCAGAACTAAATATCAATCTTACAATCATTTAAGAATTTAGCGAGAATCTCTATTTCAGGCTTTTTCATTCTCTTAAGGATTTTTCTAAAGTCCACTGGCGTTTTTACTTTCAAACTATTAAATTTGTCAATTATGACCTTTCTTTTTTTGATGAATTTATTGCACTCCCATAATAGATGGTTCTCGTCTTCTATGTGGCCACAAGAACATAAGTTACTATCACAAATCTTAAATCTAAATAAACTATATTTCAGAGAGATAGTTGTGGCCACAACGAATTCTATTAAAATTAACAATAGATTTCCTACTTAAATTAAAAGATACAAACCATGGTTTTTCTGCCTGATTATGATAGAGCTAGAAATATATTATGCCTTTGTTAAGGACGTTAGCTCTGAAATTCAGAAAATCATCATTTCTCCTCTTGCATTGAGCTTTAAAGATACATCCAATTCTAAAAATCATATGGATTTGTTATTAATGCGCCATCTATTATGTCAGGCCCGAGACTAATTTTGAGTTATGTGTTAATAAGAATTAAATATAATAAGAAATGTACAATTGTGAGCATTAAAATAATGTTGTTCATAAATAATTTAAAATTACTACAGATAGACACACACGGTCAATAATTCATAACAAAGCACGATTTATATTAAAGAAACATTAAATTCGCTCTCTCTTTTTATTATAAAAAATATTTATTATCAATTTGTGTTTTTAATTGTATGTTTTTTGTTATTTTTGTATTTTAAATAAATAAATGATTTTTCAAAGGTCTTAAAAAAATTAATTTTTAAATTAATCTAATGCAACTTATTAAAAAAATTTTACCTAGATAGTATCCCACATATTAACTTTACGGAAAATATGTACCGCATTCTTGCTTAAATTTTTCTATGAATCATATGTTCCTAAGCAAATCCGCTAATCATACTAAAGACCATAAAGATAATAATATAAACAGTAACAAATTTAAAACATTGATTTATTTACTACTAACATTTTTAACTACTTTCGTTTTACTATATTTACATTTTTTTATATACTATAGCCTTTAATCCGGCTCCTCATACAGACATTCGCGCTTTGCAACCGAGCGCTAATTAATGAAAAATGGAAGTAAATTTATCCTTGTCATTTAATTTTTCATTAATTACACTCGATATCAGAACATCAATGCCTACGTGAGGATTCAGACTTATCGATTTAGTAATAATACACTTCACGTTTCTGTACACTATATTTTATTCAAGCTTTGTATCAACGACGAGATTTTTATTTAAAGGCGGCCTCAGCCTTGAGTAAATTTTGTGATCAATTGGTTCAGAAATAGTCCAAAGATAATTGAACAAAAAATGAACAAAGGTAACATTATCGACATATTAATATAAAGAACCCCGCACGTTTCATATGGAAAAATCACGCAGATCAAATTGCTCCGTTTTGAGATTTGTTGTGCTTCTTGTGATTCTGAACAAATGTCTCCATTGCGCATTGCCACATTCACGTAAAAATAATAGATAAAAAGATATAGCGTTTTGGAAGACTCAGAATTTGAGTGTCGCCATACCTCCTAAGATAATTTGATGCTGTATTTTATATAAATGAAAATTTAAAAAAAATGGGAAAAAACTGTGATTGGCTAATTCTTACGGTACATCTTACTATTACTGTTGTATGGATGATTTATAATAGGCCGTAATCTGTTAACTTTTTTCGTAATTTGCAAGAATTGACTAACCATAATGATTATTCTCCTCTCATTCTCCCCCAGCTTTTGTTCTCACTTCTTGTCCAAGGCCATCCTACTCCTTTAACGTCTTCTGAATATCCTTATTTTGGTTTTTCTTCCGTCCTTTAAGTACTGATAGTAATTACAGCATCCTACTGCGGATGTGGATCGGGTCTCCTATTCTTGAAAAGAAACGTATACAAAAAACTAGGGAAATTCTATAGTATACATAACGTACACTATAGTATTTCCTTATTTTTTCGTATACGTTTATTTTTAAGAATAGAAGACCGGATTGCAGATCGTAGATCAGAATCCAATCAAGACAAAGTTGCTTTATCTTGATTGAATTAAAATGTTTAATTTAATATTAAAAATGTAAAAAATTTAATAAATTCGTTAAAATCTTTAATTTATTCTAATATATTGCGAAGAATATCACGTAATTTTGGCGTTTCGTCCCGGCTTACATCACTACTGAACTCATCAGTAAGGTATTGTAGTGAAAGCCTACCTTATACACGGTATAAGGTAGGCTTCCACTATAATCACAATTTTTTTCACATTTTAAAAAAATTTTCTTTTATATAAAGTATAACATCAAGTTATCTTAAGGAGGTATGACGACACTCAAATTCTGAGTCTTCAAAGCGCTGCTTTATCTATTAATGTGAATGTGGCAATGAAGATATTTGTTCAGAATCACAAGAAGCACAACATATCTCAAAACGGAGCAATTTGATCGGGGTGATATGAAACGTGCGGGGCCCTTTATATCAATATGTTGATAATGTTACCTTTGTTCATTTTTTTGTTCAATTATCTCTGGACTATTCTGATCCAATTGGTCACAAAATTTTTTCAAGGCTGTGGCCGTTTTTAAATAAAAATCTCGTCGTTGACTTCAAAGCTTGAATAAAACATAGTGTACAGAAATGTGAAGTGAATTATTATTAAATCGATAAGTCTGCATTCTCACGTAGGCATTTATGTTTTGACATTGAATGTAATTAATGAAAAATTAAAAATGACAAGAATAAAATTTATTTCCATTTTTCATTAATCAGCGCTCGGTTGCAAAGCGCGAATGTCTGTATGAGGAGCCGGATTAAAGGCTATAGTATATAAAAAAATGTAAATATAGTAAAACAAAAGTAGTTAAAAATGTTAGTAGTAAATAAATCAATGTTTTGAATTTGTTACTGCTTACATTATTACCTTTATGGTATTTATATATGTGACAAGAAAACATATTCCTTTCACAATTGGCGCAATCTATAATAAAAAGATTTCATTTTATTTTGTGAGGCTTACACACTTGGCGCCTTTTTTTCCTTTTTTTTAAAAAGGTAATTTTGTTGATTATCTCTAACGAATAGCTATATAAAAATAATATTGAACTAGTCGATAAACTACAAAAAACTACATATTATCGAGAATAATTTTAAATTGATTCCACTAAACGTGTGTCTTTTTACAAGCATTCCTATAGATAATACTTTAGATTGTGTTAATAACAAATTAAATTTTATTTCAAATAATTGTAATTTTTTACTAAGATAGAATTCTTAATGGCGGTTTTATTTTATGTCGAATTGAATATATTTGCACTGATTCTGCACTAATGTTGCCCCGACATCGTATCAGTAGTCCGGTCATTCTAGAAATTCCCCCAAAGAAAATTGTCGGCAGCAATTTTTTGATGTAGTTGCTGTCCCACATACCTAGTGACTTAAAATCACAATATTCACACAAAAAATCCTTATGCGTTTTCCGCCATCTTGAAATTAAGCGATGAAATCGTTTTTGGCGAATATCTCTGTCAATTTGAGCTTTCCCATCGTATGGATTTTGTTAAAACTTGTTACTCATGGGTTTTTGGGGTCGCTGGTTACGAATCTGGAATCATATTTCAAAAATTAAAAATGGCAAATCCAATATAGTGGATGAGTTTTCCAAAAAGTGCTTGGATTTGCTTAAAAGTTGCAATTTGGGGGTTTTCGAGGTAGCTGATTACTGATACATATAACGTAGTCATTATTAGTACATGGAGAAAACTATGCCGCCGATGATCACTAAATCGCGCAGTGATTACTGTAGAGAAAAACTTTTCACTGCGCGCGCTAGTCATCGCTACAAGGGGGTAATCACTTAATGTAATCGTGGGATAGAGTTCCTGAAATCAGTATAAGAATCATATGAAATCCTTATGTATAATCCAATAATTACATATACAATCACAAGAAATAATTGTAAAATATTATATACAATCATTTATTTTACTAAATAACTTCATATACCTATGTATAATGAAGAAAATTATTTTTCATCAGATGAAATCGTGTGAAATCAAATAAAATCATGTAATCTGTGGGACAATATTTCAGCTAGTGGTTACCCCCTCGCATCGCTATTTGGATAATAATCACAGCTTTGCTGGACAGTAATCATTTTCACAATCATTTTCACAGTACTCAGAGCTGCGCGCGCAGAATTGGTAGCTGTTTGGAAACGTTGCTGTGCGAAAGACTGTTGCGCATGCAAGCGATAAGTGACATTCTATAGAGAGTTATCAGTGTTGCAAAGAGTAGCAGTCAAAAATTTTTCTCGGTACAGTAATTAGCGCTGCGTTTTTTCCGTGTGCTTTATTATTAACACCAAATTAACAATATTATATATAATTGCGTACTGCACGTGTACATATTTCCATTTAAAGTGTTTGATCAAAAAAAGGTAAATATAATTAGCAAAAATTCTATATTATTATAATTTGTACTGATTAATTCTGTATCGACTGGTTCTTATAAATAAAATTTTTTTCAGAAAGTCATGATAGAAATATATAATATCTTGCACCTTCTAATAGAGATAATAATAGTTATTTTAAAAGTGGTATATTATATTTGCAAGAGTTTATACAGATTGATCGTACCAACAAAAATGAAGAGCGTAGCTGGTGAAATTGTTTTGGTGCGTACATATATATGTATATGTTATACATTACATAAGTATATACAGGATTGGCAACGTTACTTCATAAAAATAACTCGTTATCATTACCGTTCTTTTTCTTAAAAAATAACTCGTTCTCGTTATTCGTTATTGATTTGCAAAAGTAACTCGTTACCGTTATCGTTACTCAAAATACAACGAATCGTTACTTTTTCCTTACTCTTTTTGTTGACACTAATATAATATTATGTGCAGATTTTTTTGATAAATGTAAAAAACATCAAAATTCTATTTTTTTAGTAGAGGAATAGAACTAAAAAATATGTATATACATATATAGGTTTAAAAATTTTTTTTAATAAGTATACTTCCCAGGTCAAAAAACAATGAGCTATATTTGTTAGAATTAAAAAAATTTTTTTATTGTAACCAATAATACTAATCGGAACGTTTTGACTTTATAAAGTCATCATCAGCCGCACAAAATACCCTAATCTAATTAATAATTTAACATGACAATGTGAAAGACGCATAATTAATATTCAAAAATTATATACTATTGCAATTCTTAACGATCTAACAAGTAGAAACAAGAAATTTTCAGTCAATTAGTCAAAATTTACTTATGCAGTTCATCCTACATATACGCAATCTTGACGTCAGAAAAACCAAATAATTGCTCTATGTGATTTTAATTTTGATTAATTGACTGAAAATTTCTTATTTGGACTAACCTTTCTCGCCGAAAAACGAAGAATGGATTACAGCAGTTTTATTTCATCGTTCAAGTAAATTGACTACAATTCAACATTAGAGCAATTAGTTGTTTAATGTATAATAAATCTTGCGACATGTTAATTTGTACTTGTTAAGTCGTTAAGAATTACAATAGTATAATTTTTGAATGTTAATCATGTGTCTTTGACATTGTCATATTAAATTATTAATTAGATTGGGGTTTGTGCAGCTGATGATGACTTTGTAAAGTCGAAACGTTCCGATTAGTATTATTGGTTATAATAAAAAAATTTTTTTAATTCTAACAACAAATATAGCTCATTGTTTTTTGATCTGGAAAGTATACTTATTTTTTAAAATTTATATAAGTATATATAGGTAATATAATTATTAATTATATACATACACATAATATATAATAATATATATTCATATTTTTTAAGATAGAATCTCATGCTATATGTTAGCCTATAGATGCGTTCCGTTTCACACATATATGCGTATGGCACATCAATATAAAAGAAAGATAAAATGGTACATCATGCTCATAATGCGTGGAACAGAATGCAGCCTATATCTAAGTGTGAACTGTAAATGCAATGTGAAAAAAAGCGTTATCATTCGCGATTAAGAGAGTCAATCAGACCTATTTCTTTAACGTTACATCTCTGTTTTCTATAGCTCTAGTTACAACTAAAACTTTTACGTGGCTATAGAAATAAAATGATGATAAAAATAACTAGTGAAATCGTTATCATTACCTCAAAAATGTAACTGCGTTACCATGAACGTTTATTACATTGTTGTTTGTTCGATTACTCCGAAGAGAATATAACGTCATTACCTATTCATATTACCGAAAACAGTAACTTGTACCGGTAACGACGTTACAAATAACGCGTTACTTGCCAATCCTGCATATTACTATATATATATTAAAGTGTTCCGCAAGGATCATAACAATGCTTACAGATAAATTTCTGAAATTATATTATTTTAAAAGAAATATCCTAATATCAAAATATCGAGATTATAGTAGAGATTTTGAATTATAAGAATAAATTAACAAATCAGTATGTTCAATCAAGTACAGTGCTAAAAATAATAACTGATTATCGTTTCTCTTGTCAATATTGATGTACAAATACAATATTATATTTGTAAGAAAGTATAATATTATCTGCATAGTCAAAGCATTTTATTGCAGAATATCATTAGTTTTACACAAGAAGTCTTTATTGATATTAACACTAAAAATAACAATCAGCTTTCACTTATAACACATCTAACTGTACGAATTTTATAAGTGATTCGATTAAAAAACTATTATAGTTTTGATATTTTTGGACTTATATTGGGGATACATTGGAACTTTTATTTTAAAATAATCTCAGAAATCATACACACACAGATAGAGAATCAGAATTTAAAATACAATATCTTGTATAAACTCTGAATGTGTCATTCTGTAACGTCCGCTTTTCGCGACATATCGTGGACGTCACAATCAACGACGCTAATCGGTTGCCGACAGAAAGCGAAGCAGTGCTCCGCGCGAGAAGTATTTACCGCATGATCGTATTATGCAGGGAATGGAAGTAACTCGTTACTTGTAACGAAGTTACAGTTACAAGTTACTTTTTTGGTAACTTTACTGGTAACTGCGTTACTTTCTTTTTTTGGTAACTGTAACGGTAACGAGTTACATTTTTTGGGTAACGGTAACGAAATTTACAGTTACTTTTGTCGTTACTTTGCACACGATTGAATACGGTTCGATTGGATACATGCTATTTATAGCGCTTATCAATAAGACTTGAAAGCCCTTAGACATTCGGCCGTTATGATTCAGTAATTATTTTACACTTCTATCTTCTATGTAATACATAGGACATACAAATATTTCAATTTGCTGCATATTTTACAGGTTTTAGAATTACAAAATTGTGTTTAAAAAAAATTAAAAAATAAATTAAATAATAGTAAAATGAGTAGGGCTATGAACCCAAAAGCGAAACAGTTTAAAAGACGATGACAATAAGTGTCGAAACGTCGTTTGTTTTTATCTTGTTTTATCTATGTATTGTTCTAATATATATTTATACATTTAATTACATTGTCATCGTCGTTCTTATCGGAAATAAACTGTTTCATTTTTGGCTCGTAACCCTTCTCATTTTACTTTTATTTAATTTATTATTTGAGCCATTCTACATTGTTTTTTTTTTTTTTAAAAAAACTATATATTTGTCAGTATTACATATAAAAAAAAAAAGCAAAAGTACATTTTTAAATTGATTTTAAAAAAGTAACGGAAAAGTAACGAAAAGTTATTTTTCAAGTAACGGTAACTGTAACGAGTTACTTTTAAAAAGCGATAACTGTAACTGTAACTAGTTACATTTTTTACTCGGTAACGAGTAACTGTAACTAGTTATTTTTAAAAAGTAACTTTCCATTCCCTGGTATTATGCATGGTCTACAATGGCAGTAGTAGTAGTGGATGAGACTGTAAGGGCTACGCAGAATAAAAGGAACAGGGAACAGAAAACAGAGAATAAGAATTTCAACCTATCAGAAATCATATACTGTGGAATAAACAGTGTGTATCCCATAGTACATGATTTCTGATAGGTTGAAATTCTTATTCTCTGTTCTCTGGTCCCTGTTCCTTTTATTCTGCGCAGCCCCTAAGAGTAAGAAATTGACCAATCTCATGGTCGATTATTCTTCTCACATTCGACTGTCATTGGTCAATTCTTATAACTACAACCACTTACAACTATGTTTACGCAATTGTAGATCGGGCTTACAGAGTGGTGATTTTTTCGCGGGTACACCGTGTCGGGACGACGAACTGGCCCGCCACCGAAAACGGGCCAGGCGCGAGTATCGCGCGAAACAGCAAGATACCCCGAACAAGCGACCCCGAACCGCGCTTCGTGTCTGAGCCTCGCACGCACCCGGACGTGACAAATTCTCTCTCTCTCTCTCTCTCTCTCCTTTGTTTATAAGTTTCTATATTTCAGATTTTGAATATAATTCTCTTCTTGATGATGTATCATATTAATTTTCAAATGTATTCTATTAAACATAACTATTTGTTACTTCTTTTCAAAATATAAGGATTGTTTGTTGAAAAATACAACATATATTAATGATAGATACTATAAATTTTAAAAATGTATTCATAATTTAAACTATGTTTTATATTATACATTATCGCAGATAACAGGTGCAGGTCATGGTATCGGAAAGGAATTAGCGATTGGTTATGCTTCGTTAAGAGCAACAGTGGTATGTTGGGATATCAATGAAAAGACCAATAATGAGACAATGAACGAGATTAAAAGCATGGGGAAGCACTCTGTATATGCGTATCAGTAAGACGATACTACTTTTTACAAGATTTAAAATAAGAATAAAAAAATCGATTCGAAATTAAACAAAATTTAAATGTATAACAATGCTTACAAACACCTATTATCAATATTGATTAAAATTTAATGATATTTTGTAGATGCAATGTAGCAAACAGAGAAGAAGTTTTAAGGGTAGCTGAAAAAGTAAAAAATGAAGTGGGTGACGTTACTATCTTGATTAATAATGCCGGCATTGGAACTGTTAAATCATTCCTAGATCACAGCCCTAATGAAATTACACGAATCATAGACGTCAATGTAATGGCGCATTACTGGGTAAGTAATATACCTTTCTCTAAGACATACAAAGTAAGGTAACTGTTTTACTCGATATACTTACTAACTATTTTACTGATACTTACTCGTTAATAAAAAAAAGATCCTACAAAAAATTAACAACTCACGAACTATGTTGGCTGGCTGGAAGAATTGAAACCGAACTGTCCGTTTAGAATTATTGTTTCATCTCAATTAATAGAAAGTCCTCTTTATAACTTAGCTACATACCTTCATAACAAATTATTTAAAATAATTCCCATTGCTAAATGATAGTTATATAAAAAATAGTTTTAAACTTGTTAAAAACCTTACAAGAATAAAAATTGAAGAGAATTATAAACTAATTTCATTGGATGTAGTGTCACTTTTTATCAACATTTCATTATACATGGCTATAAACTGCATCAAAGAAAAATGGAATTTTATTTTAAAAAAATATAATTTGTCAGAACCAGATTTTTTGGAAGCACTTCGTTTTGTATTCGTTTTGGATTCTACATTTTTTGTTTTTAAAATAACAACATTATAAGCAGACCTCCCATTTATAAGCTGACACTCCCATGGGTTCTCCGTTGTCGCCCGTAATTTCAGATTTGGTAATGCAAAAGTTAGAAAAAAATGGCGCTATCTATATACAACGATCAATATTTATTTTATTATCGATATGTAGACTGTGTGCGGCAGTTCCGTCTAAAAAAATAGACACGTTTTTAGAAAGTTTCAATTCACCACTCCGTCATTGCTTGGGGAAATAAAAAATTTTGGAAGAAATTGAATCATTTAACCCAAGTAACATAGTAGCGCCTGCAAAGCTCTAAAAAGTTCATAAAAGCATTTTTAGCGCTTTGTTAACGCTTTTTAGGCGCTAAGTGCTACTTGCAATGCATATTAGTTTGTTACTCTAATTAAAACAGATTAGGTTAGTTAAATAATAGAATCATAGTCGTTGTAGCAACTATTCTCAGAGCATGATTTTAAAAAGTCTGTATGTATGCATATTTGATGTCAGCGATGTTACACGTGTATGATTTACAATTTACATTAATAACACTAAGAATTTAACAAAGGACAAGTGAGAGTAAATAATAATAATAACTTCGCGGTTAGAGGTGCGCTATCACAAAAATACAATAAAATTTCATAAAATAAAATAAAATAAAACATCCAGAACTTTGTTTCATTTTATTTTATATTATGAAATTTTATTGTATTTTTTGATAGCACACCTCTAACCGCGCAGTTATTATTATTATTTACTCTTACTTGCTCTTTGTTAAATTTTGTTTAGTGTTTGAATATTGGGAGTTCATTATTATTATATTTGTTTTACATTAATAAATATCCTTGGATAAAAAACGTTAGTAAACATAATTGTTATTTTACTGTTTAAATTACTTATTAAGTGGAAATAAAGTGTTTCGACTGGAAAATTCATTTAACGAAAAAAGAATGAAATATAGTGATACATTTTCTAACTTATACTAAAGGCATTTTGTCTATTGACATTCATTTCGTCCGTGATACACAATTTTCATCACACATGACAATCATTCGACAATAAATACCAATCGGCAATCGGTTTCAGGAATTAGAAAACGTATCATCATACGTTATTTTTCATTAGATAAGTTTTTTAGTAGAAATGCCATTTCTCTGTTCAATAAGCAAACTGGGCGGTAAAACAAACCACCTGTACTATCAATATTTCGTTATCTTTTTGTCGAAGGACATATAACGTACATACGTAAGCAAATTATGCACACGTAACATCACGTATACAATATATATAATTAACAAATCAAATATATAATCAACATCCTAACGGACTTTTTATATGTTCATACCGAAGCTAGGATTGCTATATAAAATTTTTATATTTTATGAAACTATTATATAATAATACTCCTATATTTGATTTAATTAAGTGTCTTAGTAAATTGCTGTTTACAAAGATATATTACTTTCAGACATTGAAGGCATTTTTACCAAGTATGATCGAAAAGAATCACGGTCACATTGTAGCACTCTCATCAGTAGTTAGTTTTATTACCTTTGCTTATGGAACTATTTACTGTCCTTCAAAGTTCGCAGTCAGAGGTACGTTATTTCATATTTAACGATTATAACATTATATAGAGTGTTTGGAATTTAAATGTCAAAATTTCGGCAGCGTGTAGGGAATCGATAAACTAAGAAAAAAGAAAGTTCTGTAGAGGTACACTTATTTTTGCTTCGTTTTGGAGAAAATCAGAAAAAAAGTAAAACATATACATGGAAAAAATTTTATCTTTAAACCCGAATGAGACAATGCCACAGTGGTCTAAACTGGATCATGGTGACTTCCAAATAATTGTGTGTGAATTTATATATGAATGTAATTCTTCGATTGCGCGCCGAAATTTTTTCAGAAACGCAACACTAATAAACTATCGCAGTAATATCACGAATTAAATTGACTAACATTTTAACAGTTATTGATGATGTCTTATATCGATCTTACTAATGTTAAATAACCTATTAAAAACTGTAAATAATTTTTTGCAGTAAAAATATAGCCATTTACATTGCGTGTAAACATAGCCATTAGCCATTCTTTATTTTTATCTTTTAAACAATATTAAATCTTATAGGATCATGAGAATTTAAATCAATGTAAAACCAATGAAAACAGCTAGGCCGTAACAATCAAGCTAGATCTCTTTAGTGCTTCTATATAATATTGCGCGTGAATTTATATACTACGTATGTAGATTTTTTAATTGCGCACCTTGAAACTTAACCGTTACGGTCTGTTCTCATCAGTTTTTCATTGGTTTAAATTCTCACGATCCTTTTGAACACGAACTTTTTCAATTTTTTGAACACGACGTTAAACATTTTTTGAACAAGTTGCTCTTTACGAGAAATATACCATGTCAATCATACATAACCAACGACATGACATACGTCAATTGGAGATTAACAAATGATGGTTGTAGGTCGGGTAGTCCGCATTTACATCGAAGTTACAGACGGCCTATTTCAGATCAGGTCACCAAAAACCGAAGCCTGTCCTACAGCTAGGCCAGCATGCATATTCTGTAACTCTTAATGCTTTCGTTATCGTTATAACGCCGCTGCGCAGCTGTTTTATTATGGTAAAAAGCTTGTGAGTTACAGAATAGGCATGCAGGTCATTTTTCAAGTGAGGGCCCGCGAAAAAAAAGTTAATATATTCTAAATAAAAGTCTTATAAGTTCTTTATAAGGATTTCATCAAAATTCATATAAAGAATTTATAAAGACTTTATATAATCTTATAAATAAATGCGAACATGTATATATTTTTAATATAGTTTATATTAACAACTTAAGTTTAATAAGTCCTTATTAAATCTTATTAAAGTCCAATTTATATAATTTAATTAAATTTTAACAGGTTTTAAATAAGTTGAATTAATAAGTTTAAATATGGTCTTATATAACTTAATATGGATCATTATATGGTCCAAATTAAATCTATATAAGGTTTTAATAAAACCAAAAATTTATTAAAATCGTTATTAAGATCTTATTTAGTATTATATTAAATTTTAATAAAATTTATATTTAATTATATTAAATCTATTCTTTTTTCGCGGAGGACATAAATAATTTAGATTGAATTTGAGGTATAGGCTGCGGCCTAAACCTCATCACGGTGTAAACGTAGCCAATGAGAGTTTTCTCTCCGGTTAGTGTGAGAATAAATTTATTGCAATTTTTGAACAAATAGAAGATGTTTCGGCTTATTTTCGAGTCATCTTCAGTATGTCTGAATAATTTCACACCGTTGAACCTTTCATGGCAAGGCGAGAGAGTGACAAATCAATGCATCTCTATTCATTTTGACACAAGGTTGGAAAGTCAAGTGGCAACAAATGGAAGATGAAATCCGTACGACCATATGACGGTTATAATTAAATTTAAAAATTAAAAAGAAAATAATTCCGGTTAGTGTCCATAATATAAAACTACGATCGTGATATACGATTCGATTCTAGCAATGATCAACAATTGAATCAATTGTTGACTTTCCAAGCATTGGAAACAATAGGTGCATCCAGAAGCACGACCGCTCACTGAGCTCTCAGTGAGCTCTTGTACTTGTTTGGTTTATATTTTTAGATCTAATAGAATCAGATAAAAATCAGATAAAAATATATTTTTAGATCTAATAGAGTCAGATAAAAAAAGCTCACTGAGCTCTCAGTGAGCGGTCGTGCTTCTGAATGCATCCAATACAAACATTGCATCTAGTATGGACATCTCATGTTACAACCAAACATTAATCTGGTGATATTTGGTGTACTGCAGCCTCGATGCGATTTCGTAATTGTTCCCTTGAGTTGATTAACATAAATAAACTTCCTGCTTTAGGACCCTTTACACACACTCACAAAGAAGTCCAATGATGTCAGATTAGGTGATCGGAGTGGCCAAGATATTACTCCAAGAATAAAACAACTACGTTTTGTCTTTTTGCGATTTTCTCCAAAATAAAGCAAAAAAACGAGCATACTTCTATAGAACTTGTTTCCTTAATTTATCAATTTCCTACACGCTGCCAAAGTTTTGACATTTAAGTTTCAAATTCCCTGTATTAACAAAATAGTTTACATAATATTAATTACAAATATAGATATTTGTTTAATGTATTGTATATAGAGAGTATATGAGCAACGTATGCTCTGTATACATTAATAATTGTACATTTTTTAAACCAAAACTTTTACCATTTAAAAGTAGATCACAAAAATAAACGTTATTACATCTCTTCAAATAAGCTTCTATTGATATTAATTCGATCTTTTCTATCCTCTATACACATTGAAGAAAAGACAAATTATAGTTTTAAAATTTTCAATAAATAAATAAAAAACCAAAAAAGTGGTTTTTATTTAATTCCTTTCAATATAATTTTAATCAGGGAATGGAAGTAACTCGTTACTTGTAACGAAGTTACAGTTACAAGTTACTTTTTTGGTAACTTTACTGGTAACTGCGTTACTTTCTTTTTTTGGTAACTGTAACGGTAACGAGTTACATTTTTTGGGTAACGGTAACGAAATTTACAGTTACTTTTGTCGTTACTTTGCACACGATTGAACACGGTTCGATTGGATACATGCTATTTATAGCTCTTATCAATAAGACTTGAAAGCCCTTAGACATTCGGCCGTTATGATTCAGTAATTATTTTACACTTCTATCTTCTATGTAATACATAGGACATACAAATATTTCAGTTTGCTGCATATTTTACAGGTTTTAGAATTACAAAAGTGTGTTTAAAAAAAATTAAAAAATAAATTAAGTAATAGTAAAATGAAAAGGGCTATGAACCCAAAAGCGAAACAGTTTAAAAGACGATGATAATAAATGTCGAAACGTCGTTTGTTTTTATCTTGTTTTATCTATGTATTGTTCTAATATATATTTATACATTTAATTACATTGTCATCGTCGTTCTTATCGGAAATAAACTGTTTCATTATTGGCTCGTAACCCTTCTCATTTTACTTTTATTTAATTTATTATTTGAGCCATTCTACATTGTTTTTTTTTTTTTTAAATAAAACTATATATTTGTCAGTATTACATATAAAAAAAAAATGCAAAAGTACATTTTTAAATTGATTTTAAAAAAGTAACGGAAAAGTAACGAAAAGTTATTTTTCAAGTAACGGTAACTGTAACGAGTTACTTTTAAAAAGCGATAACTGTAACTGTAACTAGTTACATTTTTTACTCGGTAACGAGTAACTGTAACTAGTTATTTTTAAAAAGTAACTTTCCATTCCCTGATTTTAATAATATGCATGCTATAATGGTATAAAAATGTAACTACAATTATATATATTACTATAAAATATAATTATAAAGCTTTTCTAATATGTTGATACACATATCGTAGGAATTATGGAAGCTACGTCTGAAGAATTACGTACATTGAGTAATGGAAAATCATCTATTAAATTTACTACGGTTTACCCGAGCTTTGTACGTACTGGACTGTGTAAAAAGCCAAAAATTAGGTAAGTTTACAACAATAAACTTAAATTTATACTAAATAAATTTTTTACAATATACACGCAGTTCATTTCTTTTATATATTCAAAAATTACATTCAAAAATAAAATTTTATTATAATATTAAATTTTGTTAGCAATTATTAGATTCAGTTTTGTTTTGATATAGATTTCCACGAATAATGGAAGAACTTTTACCGCAGCAAGTGGCTTCGTCAATAATTGATGCGCAAAGACGAAACTATAAAAACAAAGGTATACCTCCACATTGGTTGCTTCTTCTTTTTCTTATAAGGTATGTAAATTGTGCGAATAAAATTTCAATCATATCATAATACACTCAAGATGCTTTTAAATATAACAATGAGCCGTAAAATAATGTATTATAAATAAATTATAATGATATAAATATTGTATCCTATATATATATAAATACTACATATATATATGTATATATATACATATATATAATATGTATGTATGTATATATCTCTCTATATATATAGTTAAAAAATATTAAAATATATAATTTATATTTTAAACACATTTTTCCAACATTTTTACTAATCTCTTCTACCCCTTTTCTTCCTCTGTCTTATTTTTAACTCGCGTAGGTATACAAAGTACAAACACACTTCTCTTTTCTACAATACACACTTTTTTAATGATTACAGATAATATAAAAGAATTCAACTGTTTTATTGTTTATACATTTACTATTTCTTATATTTACATTCATCAGTTCGGTACTCTTTCTTTCTGTCTACAATCTTCGACCATATGTATCATCTTATAAGATACAATCTTCAGACCACGCGACTCCGATTTCTCTTTCGTTCGCCTTTTCTCTTGATTTTCCTTCTTATAGAATCTCGTCTTACCAGCATTTCTTCCTTCACGTAACCTCCTCTCTGTGGAATTCATACTGCCACCATCAGGAAATTAGAATTACTCAATTCTTTCAAACGGTAACTTTTTTATCATCCCAACATCGTAAACAACTTAATTTTTGACTTCTCGTTGCTCGTAATGTTCTATTTTCCATTTCTCTCTACAGATTTTAATTTAATTTTCTCTTATCATTTCTTTTGTCACTGTATTTTATTTATTTTGTTTATTGTACTACTTGTTTGTTTATTCACATTTCTTTAGGCTTTCTGTTAATTTTTTTCTTTACTTTATGCTACTTACTTTATATGCTCTTGGAGAGCTTGCCCGAAAACAGTAATAAACGCGCTCTCTCTCCCTTCTCTCTCTTCTCCCTCCCCCTTCTCTCTCTCTCTCTCTCTCTCTCTCTCTCTCTCTCTCTCTCTCTCTCTCTCTCTTCTCTATTGTCTATACTAAAATTATAATGAAAAACTAAGGCTAATGAGAGCAATTCGCTGTTGTTAATGCGATAAAATATAATTTTTAATAATAATACGAAAAATACAAATCTAGACGTTTTGACCTAAAATTATAACTTTTATTTTAGACATTTACCTGATGAAGCACTTAATTGCATAATGGACTTTATCGGTATAGGCGCCGATCCAGACGATTAAGAAAAAATGAGGAAATAAAAAAATTTGAAGATTTGAAGGTTACATATTAAGTAAGATTTAATTATTTTTTTGACAAAGTTTTCTACAAAAAAATTTATTCTTAAGTTACAGATTTTATTAAAAAAATATATTATTTTAAATGATATAGCTTTAAAAAAATTGTCAAAATATGTTTAAAATACAGATTTATTAAGAAATGAATCTTAGTTTAAAAATACCGCATAAATGTTTGTACTAGCTAGACAAAATAAACTTTTTTTATTAGTGCAACAATTGAATTTTATCTCTATCTTTTAAAGTTTATCCTTTAACGTTCATCATTTGTTCGACCTTTTCTATAACTAAATAATTGTTTTCCTAATTGATGAGAGAAATGTTCAAGCTTTAATTTGAACTATTCTTCCTCATACGATGATTTTTTGTTAAGTTATTGCTATTAAAAGATGTTACAAAGCTGTTACATGTTGGTGACCCATTTTTTTTAAGTAAAAGTATTTCTTATATGAGTAAGTATTTCTTATATGAGTAATATGTATGAAATGATAAATAGAGAAATAGTATTAATTGCATGTACAATTATTCAAGGATATAACTGTTGAATAGTTTAGCCAACTACGACTAAAGTCTGCCAACATTTTGTCTATTGTGTGCTCTTAATATTAATCATTTACTATAAATGAGTATTAGATATTGCTACATTTTTCTAAATCTAACTTCTAAATCTAATAATAACTTATTTATTGTTTTTATTAAAATTTTAAATACAAAGTTGAGGCTTTATTTGTTCTCAAATTTCTAGATTCTATAATATGACTTTTTACTCTAAAAAGACATTAAAATTTTCTCTTATTAAATATATTATTTAATTTATAATTTAACAGCCCTTTAAAATAAGATACAAAACATTCTTAAAGCTTTTAAAATAATCTAATATTGTTATCTATTTTATCTTTTTTCATCTTTATTCAGTAAAGATACATACATAACGTACATATCATACATACATATAACGATACATACATACAGTAAAAAATAGAATAATAAATAGAAAATATATAATGGAGAAAAAATATTTTTTCTCTATTATTTTCTATTTTTTATTCTATTTTTTACTTATAACAACTTGAATATTGTTTTTAGTAAAATTGTTTAACATTGTTTTCATTTTTAGTCATAAAATATATATTACAGCACTATATACATTGCATTTTTTAATTAACTGTAAGGCATCTAAAGTTCATAGAAAAGCAACACCGATCTTTTCAAATTTATAACATATGTTTATTTAGCTGTTGTCTGCATCTAAACATTCGATTATTTAAAATTTAAATTCGAGTAAAAAATGAAAGCGGTAGCAATTCTCCAGTTGTTGTATTATATAAACACGTTGCGAAAACTTGATAAATACGGCCCTGAGATCAAGTTTAAGATTTCACAAAACCGACAGTTCGTTTCTGGATATCTGCCAGGACACAGGTATTTTACATCTACACAGTTAACTTAAATTTATCTTCATTTCTATTCGATGATTGATCTTGTGTTAGACTTTGGCTGAATAGAAAAAGCGAAACGTGTTTTAAGTATATAAATAGACGATAAAATACGATTACTACGAGCCAATCGATCGTTGTGAACGTCTGTAATCAGGTAGGTATAGTCGAGCTTGTTGTAGGCGTGTTCGCCAGTTCTCACTTTCGTTGTTGCAAGGAAACATGTCCTACTTAGTATATAGTTTCGTCCAGTTTCTACGCAGCAGTCCAGAAAAGCATGGTTAAAGTGATTTCGTAATTTCGAAGATTCAAATCAAATATAGGGCATTTATTCGAAATTTTTTTCATAAACTAAACAATTTTATATTTTACTTTCAGAAATATATATATATATATATATACATATACATTTAGACTGAAAAATAATCGGTAAGTTGTTGAAACTAAACAGCTGTTTTATATATTTTTTTCTAGTAAAGTCGTGAATCGAAATACCAACAAGAAAATTCTCAACGAAAATAAATTTTAATCAATATTTAGTTTTTGAGGTAAAGAGGTTTAAAATTAATCAATTACACATTACGGTAACGGCCATCTGTTCATAAGTTGCGCGTCAATGAAGTTACTAATCGTGCATTTCACGCGCGTTCATAGATATTATTATTTAAATAAATGATTATGTTCATAATATTTGCATAATATCGTGTGCTACATGTAATATTTATCGCGATTTAGTTGGTATTTTATTCATATATCACGTAGGTATTGTAACCAATATGAACATAAACTGTTATTACAAACAAATAATAATATAATATTTTCTAAAAATTTTTTTATTATACCAGGGAAAATATTTTATCTACAGCTTGAAACCAAAACTTGCAAAATAAACATGCGTTAATATATATTTAAAATAACATTTATTGAAGACTTTATACTAACACAATGTATTAATAATACATTCGATATACCGTCAAAATTCACACAATCTATATAATAACTGGCACGTCGAATTTTTGAAATATTTGTACACAAATTTTTATATTATTTCATTTAATTTATTTTACAATATCTAAAATATAATACTTAATATGATATTTAACAGCATAAATAATTATTCATCCATAAATTACAAACTTATAAATATTAAGCTTTTGTAGAATATTGTAAAATATCTTGTTTCCTCAATATATAAGTCTTTTAACAATTCTTTTTATTTTTTTGATTTATTTATTATGTGCTTATTATGAATATTCGATATATTCATATAAGAAAATAAATTTTTCAGTTTATCATGAATGCAATCGACATCATACAAATTTTATTAAATTTGTTGCGACTTACATTGCATATTCTTTACCATATCTGCCAGAGCGTGTATTATACCTTCTTCGAATTAAACGAAAAGAGTGTAAATGGTGAGATTGTTTTGGTACGTATACAAAAAATATAATGTTTATTATAGAATATAGATAATGTATGGATAATTAATATTAAAATAATTATTATCAAAGTATTAAATTTGAAAAAATTTTTAATTGGTGAAGAAATTAAACAAATACGTGTTTCAATAAAAGAATTAATTTACATATTTATTTATAACTTAACTTAATATACATATAACGTATATATAAAACAATATAAGAAATAATAAAAAATTTTTTCTTCTTAATTAATAATTATATAGTAATTAAGATAAATATATATCATATGTTAAGATATTAAAATAGATATATATACTGTTATATATATATATATATATATATCGATGAATTGATATTATTTTTAACATGATCAAATGTCAAAATTTTGACAAAATTGTATGAAGTTAAGTTCAATTTTTTTAATAACCGATAGAGAGAATAATATAATATTCACTTAAAACATGCATACTAATAACTCAAAAGTTATTAGATCTACAACTTAATTCTCGGCCTATATTCATTTTCAATTGATTACAGCATATTTAAATTTTTATCTTTTTCTCTGTACTGATCGGAATCGTCGTCTCTCTCTTTGGCGAGCACCAATCAGAAAAAGAATCCAGAAGAAGAAGAAACATCTTTTTTCGTCTTTTTTCATCTTTTTTCTGTTTATGTGTGCCGAATTGCCGATTCTAACCTCAAAAAATAGTAATGAAAACTATGTCGTTCGAAAAACAACATTTGAGGCACTGCCTCCTTTTCGCGTTACAACTGATGAAAAATGCCACGAAAGCTCAAGAAATGATTTGTTTAGCTTTAAGCGAAAACTTTGTGTCGTACAGTACACATAAAAAATGGTTCCAAAGATTTCGTGATCCAATTTCAATTTGCAAGATGAAGAACATCCAGGTAACCTAAGAAAGTGGAGGATCAGGAATTGAAATAGCTTTTGAACGAAAATCCTTATCAAACATAATCAAAGCTTGCGAATGCATTTGCGGTAAGCCAACAAGCCATTTCGAAACGGTTGCGAAAATTGATAGGATTCAAAAGGAGAATCGTTGAGTTCTACATGTGTGCTAACATCTGAAAAACAAAAGAGACGCCACAAGACAGCTATCTATCTGTATGTTCGAGATTAAAAAAAGAGTTTCTACACAAAATGTTGACCTGTTATGAGAGAAAAATGGATTCTGTATGATAGTCTGAACAGAGGAAAATCTTGAGTTCATCCAGATCAACCATCAACCAGTACTATAAAACCAAACATTCACAGCAAAAAGGTATTGCTACATATATATTTGGTAGGATGAGAACAGCATTGTTTACTGTGAGCTGTTCCAACCTGTCATTCAGTTCAAGTCTCTTCAAGAAATCGAAAGAAGCATCATAGAATTCATTGACTTAAAATAACTATCTTTTTTTCAAAGTAGAATCTGACAATTGCCTGAAAGATGACGTAAATGTATGGAAAGTAAACAGAATTACTTTGAACATTAGGTTAATATTTTCGTTCTTTTATAATTTTACATCAAAATTTGATAAAAAAAAGATTGAGAATTAAATTATAAACCTAATATAAGTTATACTTTTTTAGTATCACTTTTGAAATATGGAAGCGATATCAAATAGCGATGTAAACAATTTGTAAAGAGTGAATAAGTTGTTTTATAGTAACTATTTTTATATTATGTTTGTTACATCTATAGATAACAGGTGCAGGTCATGGTATAGGAAAGGAATTGGCAATTCAATATGCGTGCTTAGGTGCGAAAGTAGTGTGCTTAGACATAAACAAGCAAACTAGTGAGCAAACAGCAAAAGAGATAAAAAAAATTGGCATAGACGCACATGCATATCAGTATGTTTCAAATTTATTAATAACAAAACGTTTCTGTTAGACAACGAAAGATACTATACACATACATCCCCAATTTTGTTTCACGTCTCTTTCTAGATATTGTAGTCAATATAATTAATTTATTATTTTACTAACATGTATTATTTTACTAACATTGCGCGCATAAGAATAAATATATTATAATATATTTATAGTATTTTAATATATCAAATAATTAATAATACT